CCCCCCCGTTTCGTTTGCCAGCCAACTCAATGCAAGCGGACATCCGGTCCGGTTATCTCTAAAATAGGCAGTGACGATTCTGACGAGTGGAGATTGGGGAAGTGTCACTGTCACAGCAAGTAGCAAGTCACAGCAACGAGCGAGACGAGTTCGCCATTGCGAGGAAAGGAATTTACCGGGTGCGAAGCGAGGGTTGAAAAAACGCACACATACAATATTGTGCCTCTATCTATTATCTGTGATTTGTGTTAGTTAAAATCTTCGTCATGAAGAACTTTGTAATTCTGTTAGCAATATGTTGTGTGATACTTGTTCTGTCTGAAGCCTCTAAGTCCAAGAAAGAATGGAGACAGAAAAAGTATTCGAAAAAACTGGGTCATCATCATGGTCACAATGGCATGGACAAAAAAGCCCACAGAATGGAAGGTGGGCACCACCATGGACATCATAAAATGAAAGGAAAACATCATAAAAGGGGAAAGGTGAGTACTTATATAATCATAAGTAGTGAAGAGTAGGCCTACACACACCTTAAAAAAACGGGAGTCTTGGTACACCACCACTGACACTGCTCTCCACTTACTCTCCTTGCCTTAGGCTACTAAATTACCTCCTAATTGTCATTGTTGAGTAGGCCTTCTCAGTTAATACACAGTAGTGTCAGTAGCACTGTCTGTACACATGCGATTAAAAGTAGAAAGAAGCAAACTATTTTTAGGTAAGTCGCCCATCTTGTTTGACGTCAGACCCCAGGATACCCCTCCGATCACGTGACTGTCGTGACTGCATCGTCATCTAAGTATAGACAACCGCATGGCACCAAAGATGGAAGTGTCTAGGCCTAATATGATGCTTAATCTACACCTTTCTCTCGGAAGTTCTGATAGCTGTTTTGATAGCGCGTCTGCGTTTGATGTCGTGCAATGACTTTTGGAGCGGTTCGATTCCGGTCCCGGACAGTTTGTTTTTTTCTCTTTTCCTCCTCCCGACTGACCAACCGTTCCATAAATTATAGGCCTAGAATCTAGCTAGATCTAGATCTAGTTTGTAGAGTTGCTTTGAAGTTGTTGTTTTTATAAAAAGTATTAGATCTAGTGATTAAAAATGCAGGAGAGGGGGGGGGCAAGTTGGTAGATCTAAATCTAGATATATCTAGATCTAGATCTAGTCCTCCTGCGTCTTTATGACAATTTTCGTGCGGTCTTCCATCATGTCCAAGTAGGCCTACTAGATCTAGAATCTAGATATAATAGATCTAATCTAGAATCTAGATCTAAATCTAGATCTTGGAAAACCGAAATGTTACCGAAAACACGTCGTTCCATGTGGGTATCCCAGGAAGTGACGACGTCACATTACTAAAATTAGCAGCCAATCAGAAAGAAGATGCGTCTTTTCTACGTTTAACGGGATGTTGTCTGTACTGTATGAATCATGGATTGAAATGCGTCTCTGCCTCCTAAGCTTGGCATCTCCCAAAACAAAACATCCTAAAGTCCTAACAGGGCCTTGCATCGACTGCACTTCCAACCTTGGGTAAATTTTTACTTTCACTCCCGCACACAGATGCACTGTTTCAGGGGTCAAACTGCTGTACTGTTTGCTGCAGATCACACATAAAGCCACTAAAACTGTCGCAAATCAATTATTTTCAAGACAATTTCAAATCTAACTGTAAAATATCAAATTATGGGTGTAAAAACAGGGGGGCATGCCCCCCTGTAACCCCCCAGATTTTCTTTTACCCCAGTGGGGCAGGCCCCCCTGGAACCCCCCGATTGGTTCAAAGCATGTCTATCTTGGTTAAAAACAATCAAATATTTCAAAAACCATTAATTTGCGACGGAAATGAAGTTGATATTCGTGTTCAGCGCATCAATATTTAGTAGAAAATTTTTTTAATAGACAACTGGTAGCTGAGTGTGAGACGGGAGGGAAAGTAAAAAAATACCCAACCTTGTTTGTTCCCCACCTCTAGATCCAGATCTAGTCTGTAGAATCTAGAATAGAGAGAAGCAACATTTGCGCATGGGAGGTAACTAAAACTTAAACAATTGATTAAATCAGAGTTGGCGGAGGGAGGGGTATAAAGATTATTTTGAGATTGAAACATAACGTACTCTCTTCTGTCATCAGCTTCCGAAATGGGAAGGACTTTCGAAATGAACGACCACTCCAACAAACACAATTTAAAGAAGAGACCTAACCCTGACCCAACCCCTATCCGCACCCCATCGCTCCTACCCCAAACCCCTTCCTAAACCCTAACCCTCTATTCTACTCTGTTTCATAGTGGTCGCCTGTTACGTGTTACGAAATTCCTCTCCCGAAATAAAATAAATTGCAACTGAAGTTAGGATAGATTTTCTCGTTGGTGAGGGGAGGGGGTGTTATTTGGTTTTATAGATCTAGCGTCAATTGCCACAGAGTGAAGCGGTGTCAAGTCTGAAAACAACGTTCTATCTCTTTCGCTTTCTATTCATAATGTGTCATGAACACATTAATAATTTATAGATCTTAAACCCCCTCTATAAGTTGATATGTCATAACGAGTAGTTACACATATTCTGAGGTTCGAAAGGAAGTAGTAGGTCAATTTCCGAATGTTTTGGACTCAAATTCTTCTTTTTACTTGAACAATGGTATTCAAAACTGATCTATAAACTTATCATTTTTCATCAGGTAAGTTCGGATCGGGTGACTAGCGCCAGGCTACTCGTCCCATCTAGGATTTCTCTGATCGGTCGATTAGCCCTGCCTGGCCTGCGGCTTCTGGCTCGTGGGAATTTGTGTGCATGCTCCTTTAAAATTCGCGTGATCAATCACGCAAGATTCAGTCACTCACTCGGTCACCCCTTGTCCTCCAAGTCAAGAGTTGGATCGGTCAAAATGGCAGCTGAATTATGTGTGGGAAAGACTTACCAAAGATTTAGAGACCTGAGTTAAACAATTTCAAAATTTAGCCACTTTTCACATGAACCATTTGTAATGGCAGATTGCAGAAATCTGTCTCTCTCTCTCTCTCTCTCTCTCTCTCTCTCTCTCTCTCTCTCTCTCTCTCTCTCTCTCTCTCTCTCTCTCCCTCCCTCCCTCCCCTCCCTCCCCTCCCTCCCTCCCTCCCTCCCTCCCTCCTTCCCTCCCTCCCTCCCTCCCTCCCTCTCCCTCTCTCTCTCTCTCTCTCTCTCTCTCTCTCTCTCTCTCTCTCTCTGACAGGTTGTCTTAGACAGGTGATCCTCTCCGATAGTGTCATTATAAGAAAGTGACGGGAAGAATTCGTAACGAGCGACCAATATGAAATATAATAGAATAGAGGGTCAAGGTTTGGGGCAAGGGTAGAGGTAGGTAGGCCTGGAAGTAGGGGTAAGGGTATGGGTTGGATCAGGGTCATCGTGTTTGTTGGAAAAGTCACTCGATACAAAAGTACTTTCAAAGTGGGAAATAATATGGTAAAAATCTATACCAACCCAAGCTGATAATTTTTTCTGGTGATTATTATTTGTCTATCATGTACACATATGTTTGTAAAAAGTGTTTCTCTTACATTTCAGGTCAGTCACAAGAAGCATTTAGCATGGTTGAAAGTCAAATCAGGTGAGAGTGAAAGTCTATGCTAACTTGATTAGTTGAAGTGTCAGTTTATTATCACTGTATTTGTGAAATTTTTATCCTTCTGCCCTGTTGTAAAATAACACTCTAGTCCTTTTCCCTCCAGAGGGAAAAGTATTTTTTGTAGAGCAACAATGTAGAGAAACTTTCACTACTTATATATAGATTAATTAAAAGCACTGGAGTTTGTAGAGTATTGAGAAAGTGGGGGGTAAAAAGAAAAGAAGGGTTTCTTATTATTTCTCCACTGCGTAACCTTCTTTTAGTTTCCCCTCAACAGTACTCATAGGGGAGGTGGTGGGGATTCTTCAACAATTTTGGATGTAGAAAAAAAATCCCTTATGCATGCTTTGACTTTATATTTTCTTTCAAATGGCCATTTTTTATTTTGAGGTTCCTATGCTTTTAACTTGTATTGTACTTATTGTGGAAATGTTTTTGGAACTTTTTATTTTAAAAATCAAAAGATATTGAAGAGAGCCTGTATATATATATATATATATATATATATATATATATATATATATATATATATATATATCTTCTCATTGTCTATATATATATATATATATATATATATATCTTCTCATTGTCTTGTTCCCTCGTACACCCAGTTCTCTTTATGACAATTATGAGACAGTAAGACAAAGGCATTCAGTATCATACCCAATGAAACACATGCTGATACAACAAAGTACAGATCGGTGGCCTTTATTTCGTTATGCAACATTTTCTGTCACACTTTAAAGTTATCCATCCTCTTTCACTATTCTTACTGTGACATAAAATCTGACCGTTACAGCAGACACACTTTAATCTGTAATCTCAAAACAGCCAATGCCTTCCTCCTGCCATACTGTTGTTTGAATCTTAGACATTCTATTTTTCATTGTGGTTGTCAGAAAGATCAAATCAAAATTTTAACATTAAGTCAGTTTAAAAATTTCTGATATGGGTTGTTTCATTTTGCCATTTCAATTTCTATAGCTGCAGACTGTGGTCTTCAGTGTGGACATGGGGAAGTTTGTATCTCAGGGCCGGTCGATACAAAACCATTGTGTGTACGCAAGAAGGACTTGAAGAAAAGGTAGAGATGACACTTCATTTTTTTACTCTTTCTTCTATCTATAGTCTATACTGGCATGTAAGAACAGCATCCTCTGTACTGCTTTTGTCTTTATTATTGCAATTTTCATACTTCAGAAAATTGGCATAGGCCTAATGGTCAAACTTGTAGATTTTCAACTGATACCATTTTCAAGTTTATCATGTTTTTTAAAAAAATTACTGATATTTTGTTCAAACTCGACTTGTAAATTTGAAGTTTTTATTGCCATCGGGCTATTCAGTGGCCCTCTTTGTCTTTATGTCTTTATCTTATTAGAGGATTTATTTCACTCTACAGCATGAAACTCTTCCATCGTTATCAGAAGAAAGAGATGAAAGCTTGGAGAAAGTTCCAGAGAGAAAATTACAGTGGAATTAAGGATCATGAGTACTACAAATTTGACAGCAGTATGGCAGACATGAAGAAAAAACATCTTGATAAGCATGGATATTCTCATCACCTTGACCTTCATAAGGGAAAGGTTGGTATTATTATTTTTTTAGATTTTGTTTTGTTTTTACAGCAGGTCTTGGGTTTTTTTAATTCTCAACTCCTGATCAGGAATTGTGATCTTATGCTTTAAAGCAGTTGCTGACACAGATGTGACCTGCAAAATAGGATCAGCAACTGTGCAACATGATTGAAAAAAGCATGGATTATTTTATCTAGTGGTAGTGACTTGATTTTGTTTCTTTTAACAAGAATGCTTAACATAATTTTTTTTTCTTGGGAAGGTGTTTATTGTTGTGACGTCGGTGGCCTAGTGGTTAGGCTCTCTGACTCACAACCGTAAAGTCGTGGGTTCGAATCCTCTCAGGGGCCCGATGTTGTGTCCTTGGGAAAGGCACTTTGCACAAATTTTCCTCACTTCACCCAGGTGGAAACGGGCACGTGTGAAATCCGCAGCTTGCACTGTATTCTTCCGCGGAAGCTGAGAATGTTTCTGAGTGTTCTCAAAGGGTCTGCAGGGGTAATAAATTATAATAGTTGTAAAGTGCATAGAACGTTCTCTTGAGCATGGATATGCGCTATATGAATGCAATTATTATTATTATTATTATCATGAGAGGGTTTTTTTTTCGGGGGAGGAGGGGAGAGATATATTGGACATAATCCTGAATCTGTTGTTTCATATTTCTGTAGAGAGAAAAACCAATGATAATGTTTTGTCTGAATAGATGAAATTTACAAGCATTTATATCATATGCAGGCTCCTGGTTTTGCTTATCTTTTATAGATCTATCAGACATAGGGCCCAGTCAAATGTAGATTTTTGATTCTGTGTTTAGTGTCAACGATATGACAGGATTTAACCTTTTTCACTGATTTTTAACAATTAGTAACAAGAGTTCCCTGCCTCTCTACTCTTTCAGAGATGTCTTTAGGTGCTTTTGATTTTGAAACCTGAAACTGATTTTAACTGTCAGTCACCATTATTGTTGTTGTTGTTATAATTTACTCATCAAGAGGACTGCTGTGTATGATCTCTTAATAAAGCAAAACCATCTTTAGTCTATCCTGTGTTTAATATATGGAGTATCGGCTCATTTGTTAATAAATTATTAAAAATAAAGATTCAGTCATATAAAAATTTGAATTTTGAGTTAATGAGGCAATGCCAAGCCATGTAACAAACGTGAAAAGAATGCTTTCGACTTTTCCATCACCATTGGATTCTTGTTCCTAATATTTGAAAGGCGTTCTGTATTAGAATGTTTATCTTAATTTGTTTTCTTTTCAGCATATGAAGAAACCCCATGTTCCAGGTCTTGTTGGCAAAGAAGGTAAGTCATCTGGTTTACTACCAGCACAGAGTGCTTCTTGTTTTGGGGGTAAATTTAAGATCAGATTCATAATATTTTATTGTTTTCAGCACTGGCAACATTTAATGGTACTAATCGCTATAACATTGTTTAATTCAATCCCTGCAATCTTTGTAAATTTTGTTAATGTATCGTTGAAATCTTTAAATAGAAGGTATGTGAAACTGCATGTGTTTGTAACATGCATGTGTAGTGTGTAGTTTAACTATTTTTTTGTCCTTTTGGTGGCGTCGGATAATGGTGAAGGTAATCCTACCTGTTGGACAGAATAACGGTTAGGTTTATCAGCAACTCTGTATACCTGTACAGTTTGATTCAGAAGTGCTTATATAAATACTCCATAAACTTTAGGTTTACCTAATATATTGTTTGAATTTTGTTGCTGGGGTCTCCATATATGTACTTGCACTGCATTTCCCATTTTTTATGATAGTCAAATGGTCAGAAAATAAATATACTCTTTAATTGTGATACACTTGTAGTTCGATCTATGTTCCATGTTGGAGAACTTTATATTTGTAGTTTTTCATGTGCTTTTTTTCCCCCTTCTTTTTCTTCTGGAGCAGAATGCACAACAAGTGAGTTTTCACAAATGAGAACAAGAATGATGGGCTGGTTTCATCTTCTTCATGGACAAGATCATTTGGCAAAGAAGCAAGCAGGCAACATCAAACATTTCCATAAACATGTGTCTGTCAAGAAGGAACTCCGAGAACATGATGGTAAGAGAAATTGTCAGTGGTTTGTCATTGTCCACTTATTTCTCCTTGTCTTGGAACTCATCTGGAAATATTTTTTGTTTTAGTTTTTTTTGGTTCTTTTTTTACTATGTTTGTGAAGTCCTCCGACCATGTTAGAGTGTTTTGACACTGGAGTAGACTTCTACAGTTGGGCAAAAAGTTCATTCCTAATGTCCTGAAGGGGGAAAAAAAATTCAGGGACAAGCATTGTCTGGCTCCTGGTTGTGTAACTTCACTGGTCGGGAGATGGTAGACTGCTTAACCTGGGAGTCCCTTCACTGAAAACTTACTACTCATAAAAATAGCACACTGGTGCCAAGGAAACTTTCATACTATACAGATACATTTAAACATGCTACACACACTTCTCTGTGCTGAAGTTTCATGACTGTCTTGTCATACTATTGATTTACTTCTCTTATAACGTGAATAGTTTTGGGAGGGTTTCTGATATCAAAATATTATATGTGTAATCAGGCAACAGGTGTGAATGCTTCAAGTCAGCAATGTGGCAGTTCAACCAGATGGACAAAAATGGCGATGATCATTTGAACGAGTTTGAGATGAGTGTGATGGAGGAGAACAGCATGGAACCTTGCATGAGGCCATACCTTACCTCTTGTGACCGGAATGCAGATGGAAAACTGTCCAGTGATGAATGGTGCTGTTGTTTCGCTAATGTCGGTAAGTGTGTTTTGTTCTTCCTTTAGAACGAAAAATGTCATGCAGACAGTTGTTCATTTAACCCTATACGTGCGCCCTGGGGTCATTTTGTACTCCCGGGGTTGTATTCTTCACATTTTAGATTGCTTCTAGTGCGAAGATCTTTTTGAAATTTTCATCAGTATTTCTCAAAAAATCATATTGACAGACTGCTATGCAAAGGATACAGATCGGATTAACAAGTAAATTTCCTCTTTGGAAAGTGGGGACACAGAGTTCAACTCGTTTTATGGATACAATAGTATAACACAACGTACGGATAGGGTTAATAATAATTTTTTTCGGGTTGTATCTTTTGTGAATGATCTTCGTAAGTGTTTCTAACAAAAAACACAATGCTGAAAACATTTTTCCTATAACACTCCTGTTACAAGTAGACCTCAACTGTCAGTATGAACTGCCAATCGAAGTCTTTCAAAAGGCTCCATTTCCCTTTTATAAAAAGGACCAACCTGAGCTTGATGGTAGTCCAAGCTAGCTCTGTTATTTGTTTGACTAATGATGGTGTTCCTGTGTCCACAGTGGCTCCTTGCTTCAAGAAGCTTGACGAGATCAGGAGGTCTGGAAAGCCAGGTACAGTACTTACTTTTTTTTTTTTTTCTTTATTATCTATTAAGGCTCTCAGTGTTGGCTTGAGGGGAATGGAAGAGGGGCAATTTTCAGTTCAAGTGTATTATGGTTTGGTATTTAAGACATCAGTGGCAATGTTTTTGTTTTTTTTACTCTAGTAACTTAACTTAGATTTTGAATGATGAGGATTACAGTATTCTTTTTAGTAACCAATTGTCTTATTCAGTTGAACCTTGAGAAAAGTAGTTGGTATCGAAAGTACTACTTTAAGATTACCTGTGTCAATTTGTTATTCCTGAGAGTGAGAGTAAAAGCAACGTAGACAACATTGAACTTTGATTGTGCTTGTTACCTGCCAGGTCTCTATTGCTTCTTGAGGATGGCGTATTATTGTTCGTTTTTGTCAAAGAACCTCATTATTTGCTTTTGCCTTTGAATGGGTCATTAGTTTTAAATTGATGTCTAATATAATAAAAGACATGTGGGTAATATTTGTTACCTAAGCTTTGTCTTGATCCTGTGGGTTTTTTTTCAACAGAACAATGTCCAGGATATTAGATCGATTCACCTTGTAGGTCTATGTCTTAAAGTTGTTTTTTTAAACATTGCCTGGAAATACTAACTGAGTTTTTATAGTATGCGCTTTAAGAAATCGATTTTGGGCCTGTTCTACCACCATACCGATAAGGTGTCAAAACTACCGGATTTGCAATGGGTGCTGAAAGAATAAAAAGAAAAAAAGAACATTCTGCAGTGCTTCCATTCTTCTTTGTTTTTACGGAAATCCGTACCTTCCGAAAGTTCTGTACTTGCCGCATCATCATGTCAACTCCATGCGTTAAAAGAGAGCTCCGTAAGTTGTCAGATGATTACGGCAACTCTCGGCAATATGCTGTATTAGAAGCTGCCAGATTGTGCATTTCGTATACTCGACCGTTGTCTATCTGTGCCGTTCGGTCGGCAATAGTTTTTCAGGTGCATATCGGCTAAAATCTGTCTACTCACGATAGATAATCTTCCTCCTTCTTTTCATTCATTCTTTCTTTCTGTTTATCTTCGGGTTTTTGCTGCGGCTGGAAAATCTGCATTTAATTCATTTATCTAGAAAACAAAATTGTGAATGTAGAAAGAAAATCGATGCCGAAGCAAAACATTCTAAAATCTGTATTGGTCTCGAGAATTGGTCAGTTCCAAATGAGGATTCTACGCAAGAGAACTGCGGGAATTTATTACCCGAGAATGTAAAAAAGAAATCGCTGAGACCCAAGAAAATGTACAAAGTCTTCAAAACCAAATCTGAAAAGCCTACAGAGTTCATATTTTACAGGTCGCGTTTGTGATATTACGTTCGGCTTTCCCCAGTCTGAGGGTACGTTTCACGCGAATAAGTGGCTATGGTGGCAGGCGGAACTGTAGGTGTAATACAGAGACTCCATCGGGAAAATCAAAATCTACTTTCGCTTTCGTTACTGCTCAGAATTGTCCGATGATAGTTTGATTAGAGATAATAAAAATTTGTAACATGCATTTTGTGCATAAGAAACAGTGTCGCCATACAAATTAAATCGATATTCTCACTGATGTCACTATAATGACAAAAAAAAAAGGTAGAAAAAGAAAACAAGCGTCCTCCGATTTCTAGATTGTCGGGCCGGTCATCGTGACCGGTCAGTGAACCTGTGAGAGTTAATGAGTACGGGACCGGCCGGTGGTTATTGGGGAAAGCCTAATCAAAGGTCATTCAAAGTATACGGAATTGAGGGGAGGTGTTTGGCGCAATAAAGTTTACGGCAGCAGGAAAAGGCCGTGGAGCAAGAAACTGATGCTAAAATGATAACTTTAAGTGGAACTGGTTTTGCCATTCGGCAATTGAGTGAGTAAATGAGGGAACATTGGAGTACAGGCTTGATGATTGTATCTTCCAGGTTGGTGTTCCCGGATTTGTCAGTGATGACAAATTGTATAGTGGCAATGAGGAAATGCCATTTTTAACCCTTGGAAAGCTCTATGTTGGATGCCTATGCATCATGATGGCTTGTTGCTGATTAAAAACTGGTACTGTGATTTAGCATTTTGAAAAAAATCAATACTTAGTTTTCAGTGATTCACCGATTGCCAGGTTTTCAGCATCACCACATCCCACGCTCTCAGTCCTTCCTGCTCCGGCTCTCAGTACACGCTCTCTTTTATTTTCACTTTTTTCTCTGCCGTAAGCCTAACTATAAAAGTTTTATAAATAAGTTTTGTCTTGCATGCTTTTTAAAATCAGTGATTGCGGAAACCAAACATGGTTTTGGCAGTTGATGTTCTTCTTGCCTCTGCTCAGGCCCAGATCAGGATTCATTTTGTATTTTTAGGGTAAAACTAGTTAAAATTAATTGTCTGTCATACCTCTAAATCACGAAAGACTTATTAGTGTCCTATGCTAGTGTCAGGAAATATGTTTTAATATAGTTTCTATTAGAATGGGCTGGGGGTTTTGAAGTCACCCTGCACTCAGTTCCAGATTCAATACTGAATGATAGGTGCTTTGAACGATAGTCCATAAATTTTTTATTTTTTTTAAACCTCGCCTCATTTCATACACACAGTTCATTGTAACTTGTGCACACCCAAACACCCCCTTCCCCTCCCCACATATATAAACACACGCGATAGCATGCGCACATGAACACACAGACACACACACACACATGTGCATGCACAAACAAGTTTTCAAAATATAATTACTACCCAATGTCACTGAAAGCAAACGCGTTCGATGGGGCAACGATCGCCTTTTTTTTTCTTCTTTGTCTTTGTACTACCTGATTTTGGGCCAAACTACCTGAAAATGACCCTAAATCTACTTGAAATGGAAACTTTGAAGTAGGCAGCCCTGTTCTTTCAGGAAAGAGTGAGGCCTACTTTTTCCCTGTCAGGAGCTGTTGAATATGCCACAAGTCCTTTAAACCTTCTCGGGGTCATGGAGGTGCTGCATTGCTGAATGCTGCACCTGCTGTCTCCACCTCTGACAGTCATGAGCAGGGGCTTGGACTTTGACACATTGGTGTTGAGCTCAATTTCATGCAGTGTGTCTTCAGCAAGAATAGTTAATAGGCCTATAGCCTGTTGAATATGTGTTGTGGTCAATATTTTCTGACTTTTCAACTTAACAGTGGGGGTGTTTTTTTTGTGTCTTATTTGTGACAATAGTGACCTACATGCCGAGGTGTGACAAAGAAGGCTACTACATGAGAGAGCAGTGTATGGGGGAGACCAAAGACGCCTTCAAGTGTTGGTGTGTGGACTACAATGGAAATCCCTACAAAGGGACAGAGAAGGAAGGGCGTGCCCACTGCAGTAAGTAATTGTGTTATTTTCATAGTCCTGTTTGGTCTCCAGCCAGTACTTTCACATTGTTTAATGGATGAATGGAAGACCTAAGCTCTTGATTCCTCAGAGAAGACTGATTTTTAGATTTTTTTTCTCAGTTACTGCTGTCCGCTGTTTTGAAATATTTAGAATGTTAAATAGTCAACCGGCTGTTTAGGTGCACTGAGCCCAAAATTTGGATTTTTAAAAAAATTGCTGTTTCTTTATCTGTGGTTAAGGTTGCCTGCGCTCAAGAAGTATTTTGTTGAAATTCAAAGTGTAAATGGTGAGAAAACAATAAAAAGAACATAATGTAGATACAGTTGTTAAGAGGATGGGTGTTTTTCTCTTTCCTGAGGAATTTTGCTTTTTTTGGCTAAGCAAATTAGTCTTTATGTTAATATACCTGCACTTACAGCGTGTTGGTTATTACTAGATCTGTCCTTGTCGCAAGGTCAGGGTATGCAAATTGAACACTAATACTGTTGGCTGATGTTCAACATCTCTTGAGGGAGTGATAATGTGTGATATGAAATTTACACAGTGTTTTATAATGTTGTTTTTTTGTCTCTCACAGGCAAAATGGCACTCCAGATGTACGAGGACGGACGTAATGTCTAACCGTAGGAATGTGCCTCGCAAGAGAATCTCGACAACAGGGCTCTCAATATATTGCTTTAAAACAAAGTTTATGCTGTGAAAAGCTCTTTTTGTTGAAGAGCTGTCCTGTTGGATGCAATTTTTTCCATTCATTTTATTATGTATGCTTCAATGTGTAGGGGCTGTATAAAACGTTTTGCGCAGTGACCGTTCATGCACATTTTAAAAAATTACTTTCCGAGTGATGGAGCTAAAAATCAAACTGTAATAGTTAACTCAAAATAAATTGTACTAGTCCAATCAATTTAGAATTGATTGGTACACTGGTAAGCTCTTGCATGTATTGAATACTTGTTTTGATAATCTGTTTATATTTTTAAAGGCTTTGCCCAGGGCTTTACATTTTTTAAAAGAAAGTGCTATTTGTGTCTTCCGTGCAGTCTGAATATGTCATGCTGAAGCCCTTTTTTGTGATGTACATCTTGCAAAGCTGATCATTAAGTGATTAAGTTTTATACAAAAATATACTTTATTCGTATTTTTTTATGTGCGTGGAAAGATAACTGCCGATCAACCATTTTGTGAGCAAAATAACATACAATGTTCCATTGATGAATACATTATATAGTGTTTCAAATGATTCATCTATACCTTTGTTACATGTTGTGAGAGAAATAGAAGTTATTCAAATTGAGCTGTTTATGTCAAAGACGTTCATTGCGTGTTTTTTTTTACACAGCATGCTTTCTTCATTTGTATACAAAATGATTTCATGAACTTTGTTTACCAATTGTTCTCCTTTTCTTTAACATGTAGAGCTTTCTTAACTTTATTTTGTTGTTTTGTTTATGCATGGACAAATATTTTTAGTGTGCCCAGTATACAAGACATTCTCATTTACACATTCCATTTTTTTTAAGGGGTAGGAGAGTGCAGAGTTTCACAAGCATCCGTATACTAAGTCTAAGGAGCATTTATCTTCTCAGATATGTACACACAGTACAGAGTAAACACATCTCCTGCACTTATGAGTATGTTAAAGAAGTGTGAAAGGAAACATCTTGCCAAATGACTCCCTCTATACTCTTTTGTGCTATTTGGTTGTGTTTAGTTGTGATTATTTTATGTATACACATACCGATACATCTATAAAAGATATATATATTATATACATATACTCTATTGCAATAGATATTTTGAAATTGAGATGTGAAACAGTACACCATGTCACTCCAGGCCTTTTCTTATTTTAAGCACAAGTACTAGTCATCTTCGAGGATTTGGGGATTCATGGAATCTGTTTGAGTAGCACAGCCAGATATTTGAACCAAGTTGTTTCTCTGACCATTACCATGGTGCTTCTCTATGTCTATGTTCTTCTTGTAGTTTAGAATTAAGAGGGGTTAGCAAGATTATAGGCAATCAGTTTGTTCCTGCTTTTGTTTTTGTTAAATATAAGAAAATTGTTCAACATATAATTTTCTTTAAGCAGATTTGTTTTGAGGATACAGAGAAAATGTGATCCGATTTTCACTTATGTAGAGAGGGGTTCTAACTAGTTGTATTATGGTCCAATAACACTAGTCCAATTTGTTTACACCGTTGTTGTCTTGTTATTTAACAAAATGTAAAAAAAGCTTTTTTTACAAACAGATGGAATTGAGGAAGATTATGCAATAGGATCACAACACATCATCTGCTCTCACTCCTCTTTTACTTTTCCAAGTATCAATTGTGCTTGTTTGTGGGACAACGAAACTTTTTACTGTGCTGTTGATACCTGTCTAATTAGCTTTTTTTGTGATGTAGTCAGATCACATGCTGTCCGCTACTACTACTACTGCTTTAGCCTTTTTCTTTCAACACTAGCTCTTCCTAGCTTTGAAAAACTTACATTCCATCGATTTATGATTTTTAAAATTATAGCCATAGCGTTCCAAAGGATCTGTTTTCTGCATATTTATATAAGTATTTCTAATCTCTGCAAATAAACGATTTAAGTGAGAAGGTTTGTTTTATTTCTTGTGTCATTTCATTGCATTAGCTTAAAAAAATACATTTCCAAATTAAAATGAGATAAAGTTTTGCATTTTGACAGTACAGTCAAACCTAGTTACAGTGCCACCCTTGGGACAAGCATGAAGTTGGCGGAACAGTGGGACTGGTGGTTCCTCTGCTGCATAGCCCGACTGCTCATCAACGTCATGAGACGTAATTCTGCTGTGCGATCTGTGTTTGAAAAGTGTCTGTTTGTTGGTGATATACATGATTGACATACATGAACATGTTTCCAGAGCTGAGAGTCTTCTCTCTCTTCTATCTATATATGGATTTCTTGTGGGAGAAAGATTGTTGTTGTTGTTATTATTGATCCAGCAACAGCTGGGCTCTCGCCCTTCTGTCCAATGCCATGTAGTGATAAGTGCAGGTTTGCTGCAGTTGCTGTAATGTTCCATAGAGTGTGTTGTCAATGTTAGGTCTCGGAGGGAGAAGGGTAGCTCTGATGTCATTTAGGGCTGTGCAGTGGAACAGGTGATGCTCCACAGTCTCATACGCATAGTCACACAAGGGACACATTGGAGGAAGTTCCGGGTTTATTGTGTTCAGGTGGAAGTTGAGCTGTATATGTTTTGTTCATAGGCGGAAGATCGTGGTCTGTTTCTTTCTTTGAAGGCGGTTGATATTGTCATTCCTTTTTGTTGTGGTCATATGGGAGAAAGATTATAGTAGCAAACCAGTGGATGTTGTGCACAGAGAGCAGCGTGTACCTCTAGCCACTAGACTAGCGGTCAGTTGGCTGGGCATATGACGGGGTAGATTTATACTAGTTAAATACGGACGTTTAACTCAGATAGTTGGCAGATGGTGGTGTGAAGGAGTAAATATGATGTTTATATGCGCTCCTTTTCATACATTGGCAAAACCTGGCGGGGGTGGGAGGGGGGTGTTACAACGAAGTTTGACAGTATTTATTTCGCTCATGGTCAAGAGATTTGACAACAGTGAGATCCTCATTTATTGAAGGGAGTGCTTATTTAGGCCACATATATGGCCTTTAATAAGGTTGACACACACCCCCCCCCACCTAACCTTATTAGTATTAGCCACTCTTGTTGTCAAGGGAAGTGCTGGACATCAAATTTCATGTGCTTTGAATCTGGGGAATACAGATCATTCGGTCCAACTACTATAGAACTTGAAAGTGATTATTTTTCTTATGAAATCCATGTAAGTTTAAGCCTACAGTTAAACTTGCTCTAATGGCCACTTGCCATTTCCTCCCTTTCCAAGGGTTGGAGGTTCAATGTTTTCTTTTGCCAAGGGAGGCTAACTAGTGCATACGACTTATTTATATTTAGCAGTTGAACCCGTGGTTTAAAGTGAAAATTTAAGATCCTATTGCAATGTGTGCTTCGCGGTTACCTTTTCAATTGTTCAGTCCTGAATGGTTTCCTCGGAAGTGTCTCCTTTTGTTAGAGGTCTTTCCCCATTTAGTATGGCCAAGAAATGAGTTAGCCGACCATCTATCTTAGGAAAAAGAAGAATTGAGCCATTCTCATGAAATTATAATAATCTTCTTTGAAAAAGATGTTCCTGGGTTTCGAAAGTTCCCGTACTGCTATAACTAGCAATCTTAATTCTTATGACTTTTTTAAAAAAGTGTGCTGTCAAGTATACTTATCATCAGAGCTGTTAAAGTACTTTTAAAAAGGTACTTAAGTACAGTAAAAGTAAAAGTACTTTCCTGTAAAATGTACTTGAGTACAAGTAGGCTACTTTTTTAAAAAGTACTTATGAGTACATTTTGAGTACTTTCTGCTAATATGCTAAAACACTTCAGTGCTAATGCAAAACATCATATTGAATAACATATCTAGTATATTTGACAAATTCGGCCATTTATTACTAATAATGTAAACAGTATACAAAGCATTTGAATATACGCACTGAACGTAGGTGGAAATGGTCCGTGAAATTTAAAAAAAAACCCAGCAAACAAACAGACGCAACTAGTGAGTAAGTGATATTATGAATAGAATTTGTTTGAGCAAGACAATATGATCAAGTGTAAGTCAGTCCTAGAGGTCGGAAAGTAGGAAAAGTATAAAAATTGGAAAATGTAGAGACAAAGTTTATCTAAGAAAATAAAAAATTGATGAAAATGGCCAGCAAAAAAAAGTGCTTTGAATTCTTCTTTAACAAATCCTCAAGGAATCAAGGTAGCCTTAAGCACAAACCACAAAAAAAGGAAAAAAGAAATTTAGGTAGCCTAAAAATTGTTAGATTGATTTACATTGAAAACTCAGTTTAAGTTTCAATTGATTATGATAGTGGTAAGACAGAGTTTGGTCACACTGTGTAGTCCACGGCGCCCACGGCAAACCAAAATAGGCCTACTGTGTAAGTGCTGAAGATTAGATGTGCTACAAGAGAGTAACAAATATAAAAAGAAGGAGGAGAGAGATCAGGACGATAGGTGTTTGATAGGAAAGAAGGAGCAAACCACACCAGAGCACCCATCAACCACCCACAGTGTCGCCAAAAGTTAAGATAGTAAACTATCTTTTGTAATAATCTACATGGTGTCTGTAAAAAAAAAATATATATATAGCACAGCATGTCAAGGAAAGTCAAAGAACTAAATCTACAAGTACATGTATGTACTGGTACCTAAAAATACTGAAAGTGTAGTAAAAGTAAATACAATGTAAACACACTGAAAAAATAAATCCTCAGTTCTCAGATATTTCCAGCACATCATACCATATATCCACACACAGACAATAGAAGAACATAGTTTTCCTCTACCTCAAATCAGCACTTTTCCCAACCAGTACGGTATTATTGTTATCTTTTCATCATGCCAATTTGCTGCCAAAATATATGTATTACATGAGCTGTTTTCGAATCCGACACTTAGTTGAAGGGAAACAACCAGTTTTACCTACATGTAATTTCCTAGAGTCTAGTAAGTGTAGTGTAACCAAAAATTCTCTACTACAGTAGTCTCCGCCTAAGATCCCAGTGCTCGGGAGCAAGGGAAATATGGGATCTTAGCCCGACGAAGCTAAGGAAGAATCTACAGTGACCCAAGAACTGACGTGACCCCTGGGTAGGTTTATGACATATGGCGAGCAAAGAGTGGTCATCCTTGATGACCAATCACAGTAGCATGGTGCCATGAGGCAAGCCATAATATTATACCGTACACTCATTAGCATATCGTCTCGAGATCTTTATCTTCGTTTATCCAGTTGCCCCTCCCCTTTACCTGTCCAAAAATTGTAGCCTTCCATCTCTGATTGAGTTCCCCCGCCTTTGTCGTTACGTACCATCACGCTGTGACCACACCAATTAAAATTCAGGCTGTCTCGCAATTTCGGGAATAGAGAAAAACTGCCTTCAACTGCAATGGTCAGGGAAGAGTTCACAGTTCGATGTGATCCTGCCTGGAGCGAATTTGTAGGCCCAACCCACCCAACGAGGGATGAAAGTTCAGGTGGCGAGCTCAGATGCAAGTGCGATGTTTGGGGAAAAGAAACGCCCATCGGTCAGTTCACACCTCGGTGTGATCCCGTCTGGGGATCATTGTACCGTTTCATGGAGTTTTACAGCGCATGTGATCACTTTCACAAGAGTGGCTGATCTTTGACGCGACGGGCAGTTCTTTGATCTCAACTTTTAACTCTTGGTTGATCGGCTGTGCTCGCCCGGGTGTTTGTTCCGTAAATTATGATCGGAAATGTCGGCACTTATTCTTTCATTAAGCTTCAAAAGTACTCAAAATGTACTTGAAAAGTACTCAAAAGTACTTTTATAAGAAGTATCGGAGTACAGTAAAAGTACTGGTTCTCAAAATGTACCGGAGTACAGTAAAAGTACCGAAAATTGTAACGTAAGTACAAGTACCGGAGTACTTGTACTCCGTTACAACCAGCTCTGCTTATCATCTGTAAGTCTATCTTTTTAGATTTCTTGCCACAACAAAGTAGGCCTACTTTTGTGCACTAGCAACAAAGTCACCTTTGCCCTTAGCGTAGTGTAGACTTTATATGATTAACTTCAGTTAAGCCTAGGTTCTGTTCTGATCCAGTGATTGAACAATTGTTTCGGCAGGCTCAGCAATGAGGTTATTCAATGTAAGAAAGACCCCCCCCCCCTTTCTTCTGATAGAGAGGGAGAGAAAAAGAGAGGAAAAACCGGGAAGGGGTGGGGTCGGGGGCGGAGTAGAGAAATTGATGAACTAAAGCAGCTACGAGCTGAAATCTTTTAAACAATAGGCCCTACGTTTCACGCTGATATAATGACAACGATGCCAGCAGCCCAGTCTGCTACAGCTTTTTTTGATGACGAAACATCGCCTAATGGCATTTCGAAGGCTTGTCACTGCATCCTATCCGAGACAGACTTTTAGTCGAGGGTCCCAAATTGACCCAAAATGTGTGAAAGTGTTTATAAAGAGGCTCACAACTGAACTAAACTCACACAAAAAAGGCAAGGAACAAAAATTCAAATAAAGATACCGGTAACTGAAAAAGAGTTTGACCGAATTCTTCTTTTCAAAAAGACGGTTTCGACTCTTTAGATTAAGTGAGTACAATTTCAGATTTCAGCAGCAACAAGAAGTTCATGTAAAATGAGTTTGAAATACACTGGTCGGATTTAAAAAATCTGAACAGTCACAGTTCTTCATGAACATGTCTATAGTGGGTGTAGCCACCCTGTTTGATCAAACACTCTGTACAGCGTCGACGCATGGACAGGACATGCTTTCGGAGAACTTGTTGCGATTGGTTCTGCCACTTCTGGACGAGGTAGCGCAAGCGTTGTAGAAAGGTTTTGTGCAGGAGCGTGGTTGTCCCTTATCAGCCCGCCAATGTGGTCCCAAATGTTCTCTTTTGGCTTCAAATCCGGACTACAAGTACAAGCTGGACAGTCCATGCGGGTGACAGCTTGCTGCTGCGAGAAGTCCCCCCCCCCCCCCCCCCCCCCCCCGGGGGGGGGGG